TGAACAGGACTCTCCAGGAAGGAGAACCTACCTACCCATCTGGTGAGACAAGTCCAGCTCTGGAGAGCAGAGCGGAGGACCTTGTCGTCGTGTGGATATCCCTTTGAGCTTTCCGACTGTGGGGAAATCGCTCTGGAGGTGGGGAAGAGAAGGTCTTTGGACTGCTAGTTGAACGTTTGCTGTTCCCAGGGCTATTTTTGGGCAGGAACGCACAGGAACGGAGTTCCGGCTGGCTCCCGAGTTGGCCACGCCCAGCAGGAACTCATTAGCATAATAGGCCACACCCAACAGCAGAAACTCATTCGGATTGGCTACATTAGGGGTGTGTGGCCTAACATGCAAAGGAGTTCCTGCTACAAAAAAAGCCCTGGGTTTTGACAACAAACAAGGTAAACAGAATAAGAAGCAAAAGGTGGGTGTGGCTGGATGACCACACTTCTGGTAACATGGGGGTGTGGCCTAATGTGATAATGAGCTGTGCTGTCAGGGGTGTGGCCCAATATGCTAATGAGTTCCCGCTGGGCTTTTTCTACAAAAAGAGCCCTGGCTGTTCCCCTTCCCCATTCCTTTCTCTATTCTTCCCTCTTTTATTTCCCGGGTGGCTTTTGAGCACCGTTTCGTTTTCCCCTGTGATACTTTTCAGATTTAATATGCGCCAACCTTCCCCGTCTGTGTTCCTTCCATTGTTCTGGTGCCTATATTTGGGAAGCCTTAAGGGACGGAGAAGAGAGTGATATATTGCTACCTATTAAAATACGCTCGGCAATTTCAAATCACACCCCCTTATTTCTTCCTGCTGTCTCCAGTGGGAGCAGTCCTTACAAAGATCTACGCATTATAGGGAAACAGTATAATCTTGTAGATATTCATCTGTGCAGTGGTTATAATTCCGAAGAAACAATCAGCTCCTTAACTGGAAGTTACGGAAAAGGACTTAAAAGAAGCTTTTGTTCCTGAAAGCCTTAAAGTCGTTGTCGGGTCTCTGAACTCACCGACTGAAGATCTGTCCCATGTGAGACGCTGGCGTCCCGTTCAGGGTCTGAACTTCAATCCCAATGGGGCCGAGGCAAATCTCTTTGGGATATTCCTTCCTTAGGTCAGCGAGTAGTTCGAAATCTCCCACTCCCGAAGGATCGTCCCGGTCAAACCAGCGAGTCCTGCAAGTGGGAACTGAGGAACAACCACAGGGGAAAGTTTGTGAAACTTTGAAGGAAATGGTGCTGAGATGCTTGAAAAGTGGAAAATAATTTTTTAACTGTGTTTCTGAATCCACGTAAGTGTTGATTCCACGCACCCCACCCCACCCCGGTTAAACAAAAGCCAGTTTGGAACATCAACATGTCAACGTTTTGGCCTTTCACATTTTGAAGATTTATTCTGGGTGTTGCAATTGGTAGGGGGAATGTGAACTGCAGCTCCAAAACATTAGACTATGGCCCCAGTCACATGGGAGGATTGGCCCCGCGAAATGGACGGATTGAGGGCACATCAAACGGGTGCGATCATACGGCAACACCTGGGAAGCGTAGCGCACCCGTCTCCAACCTGTACCGTCCGCCCGGAGAAGTGGATTTAAAAGGCACTGGGGGAAAGGTAGTAGCTTCCGGTAAATGGTCAGAGACACGCCGGTAGCCCATGGCATCCAGCAGCCATCCGTGACCCGCGCATGCCGTGTTGCCTTGCTGGGACTACGCTGTTGCCTCCCTGGTGTGATCGGCTGCCGACGGCCTGAGGACATAGCCACGGGGAACCGTAAGATTGCGCTCCTGCGCTTCTTTTAGCTCTGCCTCTACAATGCCTCCCTTCCAGTGCGGATTTTCCCACTCGTGTGACCGGGGCCTTTCATTCGCAAATCTTAAGTTTGCTACTTCCTGTTCCAAGGCCATTTCCTCTGCAGGGATTTAAGCCACTGGGAACATGGTGAATTGTTCCATGGAAGGAGGAGGAGGAGGAGATTGGATTTTGGAGTCTCAGAGCATCTTACAATCTCCTTCCTTTCCTCTCCAAACAACAGACACCCTGTGAGGTAGGTGGCGCCGAGAGAGCTCTGACTGAGAACTGCTTTTGAGAGAACTGCTCTGAGAGAACTTTGACTGACCCAAGGCCACCCAGCAGCTGCATGTGGAGGAGTGGGGGAATCACACCCGGTTCTCCCAAATTACAGTCCGCGCACTTAACCACTACATCAAACGGGCTACAAAATGAGAAAATGATATGGAGGAAAAGCTGGTAGTCTTATGCCTGAATTGATTCTTCTCTTCAAATTGCAGCCTTACTGGCTACATTGATAATAAATCAGGGGGCAAATTCCTGCAAGAGAATCACATAATGGACACATAAAGCGACATTTGACAGAATGAGACCATGGGTCCTTCTAGCACAGTGATCCCTGCTTTGACTGACAGCTGCTTAATCGGACATATAAAGCTACGTCGTGCTGAATACGACTGTGATGGAACAGGCCTGCTTGTCCTACAGACCCTGTTCTGCCCGCTTCCTCCATTGGATTGCCAACTCCTGGAGAGAGCTATTCAACTGCCTTCTGCTAGGGCACCACTTCCACCACTTTCCTTTTGGGGTCTTCCTACCAGGAGGGACAGACTCCTGACACCCCTTCTCAGTTCTGAGGCCTGGCCTCTAGGTCTCCTGCTACCCAGCACCTGGTTACCACAAGGACCAAATGCAGCTTTGGGTGCCATGGGGGAATGTCAGACTCCTGCAGCAATCAGTTCCCAACAGCTTTCATTCAAAGAAGTAAAGTTTATTGAGACATTTAGAGTATACAGACATCTTAACCATTTTGTCTCAGAACTAAAGAAAAGCGTGCGTAGCAAAAAGCTATACATCATTCATGGAGACCCCCTGATGGCTCAGGGCCAATCAAGGATCAGGTAGAAGCCCGCCAAAGTAACAGGCTACGTTTCCCAAGAGAAATGCTACACCAGGCACTGAAGGTCGGGCAGAGATAATAGAAACATAGAAGACACCGCAGAAGTGAAACTTAACGTTTCAGAGTCACCCCCACTCCCATGGCAGCCAGAGCCAGGGCTTGAGAAAGGCCTAGCTGACAGGAATAACCGGTTGCCAACTGCTTGCCTTCCCCCGTCCCAGGGCTCCCCTATTAAAATAGGGTGGCCAAGACGGTTGGGGAACCCATGTGGTGCGGAGACTTAGGTCCACATATTTAAAAGGCTTTATTTAAAGTAGGTTCAAGCACCAGAGGTCATTTCGGGGGGGATCGCGGGGGATCGCAGTTCCCCCGGGTGAGGTACGGGGGCGGGGCACATGACGAAGCCCCGCCCCCTGTTTCCGGCCGCCCCGCTTCCGGCCCTCATTCAGCTAGGAGGAGGCAGGAGAAGAGGGAGGGTAAGTTGCTTCCTCCCTGCCCCTCCCCACCCCTGCCTGCCTGGGGCCAGGGAGGGCCTTCGCGGGGCTTCCTTGCACTCCCGCCAGCCTTGCAGGTCCACCGCCGGGCCCCTCATGGGGCTCGGCAGTGGAGCTGCAAGGCCGCCGGCGGCGGCCGGGACCATTGGGGGCGGGGTGTGTGGCCTTATGACACACTTCCGGTGATGTCAGGGGGTGTGGCCTTATGACACACTCCCGGTGATGTCAGGGAGTGTGGCATATGCTAAAGAGTTATGCTAATGAGTTCCCCTAGCTCTTTTTCTACGAAACGACCCCTGTCAAGCACACTTTCTGCACATCACAGATCAGCCACCAGAAGAACAAAGAAAGGTTGGTTATAAACGCATCCTTTCCACCCTGGTTCAAAAACATACCCTGACTAGATGTCACCATCAGGGTAGGCACATAGTATCAGAAAGTTACGAATCCTCTAAAGCTCTTTCATTACCTTCTGGTTCCCTGCAGGCCTTCATCAGACCGCATGGTCAAAGATGGCTGCAAACCTTCAGATCAGAGCGTAGAAGTCTGCTTCTGTCCCAGAGACCATGGGTCCTTCTAGCTCAGAGTTGCCTGCTTGGACTGGCAGGTACCTTATGGGAAGGTCTTCCACAAGAGGAAAGTCTTTCCCCAACACCTTCTCCCTTCTGCGGCCACTTCCTGACATTCTGCATTCCGCCACATTTCCTGAGAGATCTGTGTGGAACCACACCTTAGACTCAGGGGGCCTCCTCCAGTCCTGCCACAAGATGGGAGGGTGGACTCACCTGAACAGAAGTCTGGCGGACAGGTGAACCGGACTCTGTAGTCCTGGCAGAAGCCTTTCGCCTGGCCTTCATTCACACACGCAAATCCTTCAGTGGGATTAAACCTGGAAGCACCAATGACAAAAGGTGGGGAACGAAGTCCATGAGCTGAATTATTTGTGACACTCTAAGGAGGAGAAAGAGGAAGGAGAAGCAGGACCCAAGAGCAGCCAAGGGGTTCTGGATCACTCTTAGCAGCCTCTGGCGGTTCCAGAGAGCCTTTGAGGTACTACAAGATTCAAGCTGAGAAATCAGGCATGGATTCCTCGCCCCCTGGGCCACCAGCTCTATTGGTCACCGGGGGGAGGAGAGTCAAAGAAAAGGCTGACTGGATCCGACCCTTCATGTCTAAAAAGAAAAGCAACTCAGGAAATGAACTGGAGTTGTGAAGGTTTTTTTTTTTTTTTTGAAGGCTGCAACGTCCCTCTTTATTCTCAAAAGCTGCTGGTTCAATGAAGGACTCACAGTTTAAAGGTCTGTCCTGTCTGAGAAGCCGACGTCCCTTCCAGAGTCTCCGCCTCGATGGAAAGGGGGTCGGGGCAAATTTCATTGGGGTTTTCCTTCCTTAGGTCGGAGAGTAGTTCAAAATCTCCCACTCCCGAAGGATTGTCCCGGTCAAACCAACGGGTCCTGCAAGCAGGAACTGAGGAACAACCATAGGGAAAAGTTGAAACTTTGCTGTGAAGAAAGTGGTGCTGAGAGTCTTGAAAGTAAAAGAGAATTTTAAAAGTATTTCTCAATCCACGTACGTGTCAATCTGACCCCCCAGTCAAATAAAAACCATTCTGGAACATCAACATGTCAACATTTTGGCCTCTAACATTTTGAAGATATATTCTTGGTGTTGCGATTGGTAGGGGAAATGGTAGGGGAAATGTGAACTGCCGCTCCAAAAGTTTGACTTCCATTTGCAAATCTTAAATTTGCTGCTTCCTGTTCCAGGGCCATTTTCTTTCGTCTGCAGGGATACAAGCTGCTGGGGACGTGGTGGATTTTTCCATGGAAAAATTACACGGAGGGAAAGCTGGCAGTCTTATGCCTGAACTGATTCTTCTCTTCAAATTGCAGCCTTACTGGTTAAATTGGGAATAAAGTAGGGGGGAAACTCCCGCAAAAGAATCACAGAATGGACAAATGACGCTATGTTGTACTGAATGGGGTCATGGGTCCTTCTAGCTCAGTATTGCTTGCTTGGATTGGCAGGTGCTTCATGGGAAGGTCTTCCAGCAGATGAAAGTCTTTCCCCAACACCTGTTCCCTTCCACAGGCACTCTGACATTCTGCATCCAGCTACATTCCGTGAGTGATCGGAGTGCCTCCTCCAGTCTTGCCACAAGATAGGAGGGTGGACTCACCTGAACAGAAGTCTGGCGGACAGGTGAACCGGACTCTGTAGTCCTGGCAGAAGCCTTTCTCCTGGCCTTCATTCACACACGCAAATCCTTCAGTGGGATTAAACCTGGAAGCACCAATGACAAAAGGTGGGGAACGAAGTCCATGAGCTGAATTATTTGTGACACTCTAAGGAGGAGAAAGAGGAAGGAGAACCAGGACCCAAGAGCAGCCAAGGGGTTCTGGATCACTCTTAGCAGCCTCTGGCGGTTCCAGAGAGCCTTTGAGGTACCACAAGATTCAAGCTGAGAAATCAGGCATGGATTCCTTGCCCCTCAGGCTACCAGGTCTGTTGGTCAGCAGGGGGCGCTGCTGCAGTTTATGGACATCATGCAAGAGAATTCCATCCCACACAGGAATCAGGTGATCCAGGGCAGCCAATCCCGCGCCTGCTATATAGTTTGTCACATTTCCTCATCTGGCCGCTAGGGATGCCAGCCTCCCAGTGGGACCTGGGGAACCCCTGGAATTACAGGTCATCTCCAGACTACAGAGATCAATTCCTCTGTAGAAAATGGATATTTCGGAGGGTAGACTGTATGGCATTGTACCCCACTGAGGTCCCTGTCCTCCCCAACTTCCATCTCCAAATCTCCAGAAGTTTTCCAAGCTGGATCTGGCAACACTAAACCGCCATCCCCCGCCGGTGGCTGGTGGGGGGGAGACTTAGCAACCCTATATCTTGTTTGGATGAGAGCAGCTTGGTTGCCAACTTGGTGCTCTCTCTTTCTGCTGCTTGCTGCCTTCTAGTTCTGGATTGGGAAATTCCAGGAGATATGAGGTTGGAGCCTGGAAGAGGAGGGGCTTCAGGAGGGGGAGGGATCTCAGCGGGGTCTAATGCCATAGACTCCACCCTCCAGGGCAGCCATTTTCCCCAGGGGAACTGAGTTCTATAGTTTGTGTAGCAGCCATATGAGGGAATCCTAAGAACGCTTTCCTGGGAGTAAATCCAAACAAATCCAGTGGGCCTTCCTTCCAAGTAGACCTGGTGAGGATTTCTCCCTTAGGGTTTCTCCCATAGGGTAGGGTCCAACCAGCTCTTCCGTTGATGAAGACGAAAGGGTCCCCCTTTGACTACCCAAAGTACTGTACTGGGATCAAGGGACCCGCATGGGAAGAAAGCCACATCAGACAGGAGAATCTGGCAAAATAGAAGAACTGAGTGAGAGCCAAAGAAAAAACTGACTGGATCCGATCCTTCATGTCTAAAAAGAAAAGCAACTCAGGAAATGAGCTGAAGTTGCGAAGTTTTTTATTTTAGAAGGCTGTAATGTCCCTTTTTATCCTCAAAGGCTGCTGCGTCAATGAAGGACTCACAGTTTAAAGGTCTGTCCGGTCTGAGAAGCCGACGTCCCCTCCAGAGTCTCCGCTTCGATGGAAAGAGGGTCGGGGCAAATTTCATTGGGGTATTCCTTCCGTAGGTTGGAGAGTAGTTCAAAATCTCCCACTCCCGAAGGATCGTCCCGGTCAAACCAACGGGTCCTGCAAGCGGGAACTGAGGAACAACCACAAGGTAAAGTTTGTGAATCTTTGCCATGAAGGAAATGGTGCTGAGATGCTTGAAAGTGGAAGATAATTTTTTAGAGTGTTTCTGAATCCACGTATGTATCCATCCGACCACCCAGTTAAACAAAAATCAATTTGGAACATCAACATGTCAAATGTTTTGGCCTTTCACATTTTGAAGATATATTCTTGGTGTTGCGATGGGCAGGGGAAATGTGAATTGCAGCTTTATAGCTATAGACTTCCATTTGCAAATCTTAAATTTCCTGCTCCCTGACCCAAGGCCTTCCTCTGCAGGGATACAAGCCACTGGGGACGTGGTGGATTTTTCCATGGAAAAATGATGTGGAGGGAAAGCTGGCAGTCTTATGCCTGAACTGATTCTTCTCTTCAATTTACAGTCAACTGGCTACATTGAGAATAAAGTAGTGGGAAAACTCCTGCAAAAGAATCACAGAATGGACATAGGAAGCTACCTTGTACTGAACGAGACCATGGGTCCTTCTAGCTCAGTGTTGCCTGCTTTGACTAGCAGCTGCTTTATGGGATATATGAAAATGTCGAGACAGTGTTTGACTGCAATAAAGAAGGCCAATGCTATGCTGGGGATTATTAGGAAGGGTATTGAAAACAGATCAGCCAATATCAAAATGCCCCTATATAAATCAATGGTGCGATCTCATTTGGAATACTGTGTGCAGTTCTGGTCACACCTTAAAAAGGATATTATAGCTTTGGAAAAAGTACAGAAAAAGGCAACTCGAATGATAAAAGGGTTGGAACACTTTCCCTATGAGGAAAGGTTAAAGCGGTTAGGGCTCTTTAGCTTGGAGAAATGACGACTGAGAGGTGACATGATCGAGGTTTACAAGATTATGCATGGGAAAGAGCAGGTAGAGAAAGAGGTACTTTTCTCCCTTACTCACAATACAAGAACTCGTGGGCACTCCATGAAACTGCTGAGTGGTCGGGTTAGAACGGATAAAAGGAAGTATTTCTTCACCCAAAGAGTGATTAACACTTGGAATTCACTGTCACAGGAAGTGGTGGCGGCTACAAGCATGGACGGATTCAAAAGGGAATTAGATAAGCATATGGAGCAGAGGTCCATCAGTGGCTATTAGCCACAAGGTATAGATAGGGGCTCTGGGGCAAGTGATGCTCTGTCTTCTTGGTGCTTGGGGGGGGGGTCAACAGTGGGAGGGCTTCTAATGTCCTGGCCCCACTAGTGGACCTCCTGATGGCACTGGTATTTCTGGCCACTGTGTGACACAGAGTGTTGGACGGGATGGGCCTTTGGCCTGATCCAACATTGGTGTCTCTTATGTTCTTAAGCTACCTTGTACTGAATGAGACCATGAGTCCTTCTAGCCCAGTGTTGCTGCTTTGACTGGCATTTGCCTTCTGGGAAGGTCTTCCACAAGAGGAAAGTCCCCAACACCTGTTCCCTTCCACAGGCACTCTGACATTCTGCATCCCGCTACATTCCGTGAGTGATCGGAGTGCCTCCTCCAGTCTTGCCACAAGATAGGAGGGTGGACTCACCTGAACAGAAGTCTGGCGGACAGGTGAACCGGACTCTGTAGTCCTGGCAGAAGCCTTTCGCCTGGGCTTCATTCACACACGCAAATCCTTCCATGGGATTAAACCTGGAAGCACCAATGACAAAAGTTGGGGAACGAAGTCCATGGACTGAATAAATTGTGACACTCTAAGGAGGAGAAAGAGGAAGGAGAAGCAGGACCCAAGAGCAGCCAAGGGGTTCTGGATCACTCTTAGCAGCCTCTGGCGGTTCCAGAGAGCCTTTGAGGTACTACAAGATTCAAGCTGAGAAATCAGGCATGGATTCCCTGCCCCCTGGGCCACCAGCTCTATTGGTCAGCAGGGGGCACTGCAGCAGTTTACGGACATCAGAAAAAAGAATTCTGCCGCACACTGGAATCAGGTGATCCAGGGCAGCCAATCTTGTGCCTGCTATATAGCTTGTCAGATTTCCTCATCTGGCCAACATCTTGTTTGGGGGAGAGCAATTTGGTTGTCAACCTGGTCTTCTCTCCTTCTGCTGCTTGCTGCCTTTCAGTTCTGGATTGGGAAATCCCAGGAGATTTGGGGGTGGAGCCTGGGGAAGGAGGGGATGGGAAAGGGGAGGGATTTCAGTGGGGTATAATGCCATAGACTCCACGCTCCAAAGTAGCCATTTTCCCCAGGGGAACGGAGTTCTGTAGTTTGTGTAGTAGACATATGAGGGAATCCTAAAAACGCTTTCCTGGGAGTAAATCCAAACAAATCCAATGGGCCTTCTTCCAAGTAGACCTGATTATGATTTTCCTCTTAGGGTTTCTCCCATAGGGTAGGGTCCATCCAGCTCTTCCGTTGATGAAGAGGAAGGGGTCCCACTTTGACTACCCAAAGTACTGTACTGGGATCAAGAGACCCTTATGGGGAAAAAACCACGTCAGGGATTCTAGTTGCAATGTATTCAGAAGCTGCCATGAATGCATTAAGATGTATGTGAAACATATCATAGGGAAGCAATGTTAAGCTTCGTCTTGGGCAGGGATTCAAGCCCAAGGCAAATGTGTCCAATCACGTTCAAGCAAACTGTAAGCGGGAACAAAGGTGATTGGCTCTTATTCGCTCAACCGTATTGGTTGTTATGTGTATAGTAGGCGTGGCTATATTAGCCGGGAAATGTTTAAATACCGAACAGCTACTATGGACAAGCTGTTCGGGCTATCAGTTATTGTACCGTGTTGGAGAAGTGTTCGTGTTGAAGACTAAACTTGAGTTTTTGCTGAAATCACTCTCTGACTATTTGTTAAGCGCTGGACGTAACACTAGTAAAAGAGGAGTACTGGGTGAGAGCCAAAGAAAAGGCTGACTGGATCTGACCCTTCATGTCTAAAAAGAAAAGCAACACAGGAAATGAACTGGAGTTGGGAAGTTTTTTGTTTTTTGTTTTAGAAGGCTGCAGCGTCCCTCTTTATTCTCAAAAGCTGCTGGTTCAATTAAGGACTCACAGTTTAAAGGTCTGTCCGGTCTGAGAAGCCGACGTCCCCTCCAGAGTCTCCGCTTCGATGGAAAGAGGGTTGGGGCAAATTTCACTGGGGTATTCCTTCCTTAGGTCGGAGAGTAGTTCAAAATCTCCCACTCCTGAAGGATTGTCCCGGTCAAACCAACGGGTCCTGCAACCAGGAACTGAGGAAAGACCTGGAGAAATCATCAATAAAAATGAACTGATGGCCCCATTACACCCTGCCACAGACTCTAAATCATTTACTTCTCTGGCATTCATGACCATTTCATACTTTCACCTCTGTGGATAGCATTGCCAGAGCCACCCAGCCAATGGCAGGGGATGAGGAGGTAGGGTGACTGGCTCCAGGGTAACTGATCTGAATCATCTGGAGATCAATTGTAATGGTGGGAGATCTCCAGGTGCCACCTGGAAGTTGGCAACCCACTCACCCTTCACTTCTCTTCCACTGTGGTATCTCATCAGCACCAGATGCTACATAGAAACCCACATATGGTCTCAGCAAAGACCTATCAAGCAAGCTCCCGTCCAATTACTCAGGTCATGGACTGCACAGATGAATTAAATATCCTCACTTACCGCTTGCAGGCAGAGCCAGGAGAGTCATGAAGAGCTGAGGGAATGAAATCACAGAAACAAAGGTTAGGACTGGGGAGTTCGAGATTCAATTCCCCATTCAGTTTTCAAGCTACTTGGAGAACCTTGGTCCCGTTACTCTCTTGACCTAGACCACCTCATAGGGTTGTTGTGTGGAGGACAATGGAGGTGGGGGGAAGGAGGTACATTGCCCTGAACCCTCTGGAGGAAGGGCAGAATGAAAAGATGTCAGGCGGATTTAAAATCCACAGCATAAAATATTAAAGATCCCCTCAGGGACTACAAGTTCTGTTGAACTGGAAGGGCAGCGATGTAAACAGCTTAGTCGGAACAAAAAAATGAGCACAAACCAGACTTCGAAGCGCCTCCATTCTTCCCAGCTGGCAGCTTTGGCTGGTAAGGAGATGCAGTTTTTAGGATTTTATAGACCGCAGGATCCCGCCCTCTCCTGTATCCTGCCAAGCAATGTAACTCTACCCGACACCAAAAAATTTCTCGTAACTTCCTATCCCCTCAGCCTTTTTTTTTTTTCTGTTTGCCAACCTGCAGGTGGTGGAAAATATGAGGGAACACAGCTTGTGGTAAATAAAAAATAATCTACTGTGCCAGATGAACTTGTAACGATTACTACGATACTGATCAAATGTTAAATTTTCTAATAAATTTTAACATTGCACTTGTGGGGGATTTCTATAAGGTTCTAAGATACTTCGTAAAACACTACAGATGATTCCCCACAACCCCACCATGTAAAAGAACAAATCCTAATGCCAAATCATTTAACTTTCCATAAGTTTCAGTCTTGCTGTAATTTGAGATGTCGGTTTTTACCAATAAGAGATTTCCTCCCCACCACACAATAGGTGATACTAGCCAATTTGACTTCCATTCACTCCCCATCTAGAGCATTGTCTCAAAATTAATAGCATTATAGGGTTATGAAATCCAGCTTGGGAAATTCCTAGACATTTGGGGCAGTGCCAACACCAACAACAATGGTGTTGGCAGTGCCTGGGAAGGGCAGAGGACCGGAAAGAGGAGAGAGCCATAGATTCCACCTTCCGAGGTAGCCATTTTCACCAGGGGACATGATCTCCATATCAGAAGTACCAGATGGGGTGTCCCCGTGCCTCAGCATCCAGAAGCAAGTGACCACAGAGTCGCAGGCAGACAGGCAACTACTAAGCATCTTCCTGTTTCCTCTACTTCACTGAGAAACCCTTTGAAGTGCAGATCAGCACTGTTTAGGGGAAAGCAACTTCCTTCCATCTCCTTCTTCCCCTCTCTTCTCTCTTTTCCATGCACACAAGATCGAGAAGCAGGATGCCTCTCAGCATCCGCTTCCGCTTCCATCTCTTAGTTAGATAGTACGGGAACCGTCCCTATCTCTCTACCCTTCACTATCAAGCATGCATTTCTAGAATAAAGTAGTTTATTTTGTTTCAAACTGGAACATGGCTCTGTTTAACTTTGTAGTCTTGCAAGCACATGGTAGATTCGGGACAAAGCACGACTGCGTTAAAGCCAAGTGCACTCTGCTATCCAAAGAAGGATCTGGAGCACCAAAACCAGCATGCCTTCCTACACTCCATAGTCAGCAGATCAGCTTTAATTCCGAAAGGTAGGGCCCGGAGACATCTTTTTTTTTTTTACAATGTTGCTTCCTTTACTCTCAATCTGTTAAGGTACCTGTGATGCGAGAGAGATGTTTGACCTCCCTCCCTCCACCCATCCACCCATCCACCCATCCACCCATCCATCTATCTATCTATCTATCTATCTATCTATCTATCTATCTATCTATCTATCTATCTATCTATCTATCTATCTATCTATCTATCTATCTATCTATCTATCTATCTATCTATCTATCTATCTATCTATCTATCTATCTATCTATCTATCTATCTATCTATCTATCTATCTATCTATCTATCTATCTATCTATCTATCTATCTATCTATCTATCTATCTATCTATCTATCTATCTATCTATCTATCTATCTATCTATCTATCTATCTATCTATCTATCTATCTATCTATCTATCTATCTATCTATCTATCTATCTATCTATCTATCTATCTATCTATCTATCTATCTATCTATCTATCTATCTATCTATCTATCTATCTATCTATCTATCTATCTATCTATCTATCTATCTATCTATCTATCTATCTATCTATCTATCTATCTATCTATCTATCTATCTATCTATCTATCTATCTATCTATCTATCTATCTATCTATCTATCTATCTATCTATCTATCTATCTATCTATCTATCTATCTATCTATCTATCTATCTATCTATCTATCTATCTATCATCTATCTATCTATCTGTCATCTATCTATCTTTTGGAACCTGCCATTTTTCCTTCCTTCTTCCCAGAATGCTCAAGATGTGGGTTGAAAAGCCCATTCATTCTGCTCAAGCATCCCATACAATTGCATTAGTGGTAAGTTCACAATATAAAATGAGTAGTATTTTAAATAACTTTGTGTCTGTGTAACTTTGAGTTGCCAGTGCTCCCTTGGCAAATTATTGAGAAATACACTGTAATAAAATGCAAAATTATTGTAACATAAGTTATGTATTAATAAAAGATCATGAAAATATATGATACGTAGAATAACATAGCGGAATCTCATAATACAAGAAATTATCAAGAAATGGTCAAGCAAGAAGGATCCAGAGGAGTCCAAGAAAATCAGTCCAAAGGAATAAAAAAATTAGAAGTCAAAGTAAAAAATCACATGAGGATTCCAGATATGCAAGCCTCGTTTCGGTGCACTTCATCAGTGGAACTGCAAAGTATACAATCACTGTTATTGCTACAGTATAATAGAAATTATGTATATAATAAAACATGCTTAGCTGGCTTACCCATTCACAGTACATCAATCATTTAATTGCTGTTACATAAATCTGAGTCATTAAGGATCACAATCATTCCTGCAAAACGACATACAATCACATAAAATTACAAGGTATGTATGTATATTATTGTCATCTACGAATACCTCAGATTACAATAAAAAGCAATGGTCTTACCAGAAACCTCGTTACATGTATTCTTATATCAGGCACCACTCAAGCGTAATACAGAGAATCAATCTAGAATCAATCTAATGCAGGTATAGCCCCCTACGATAGAACATCTCAAGGACAGAATAAATGCCAAACACTCCAGCGTTCACAATATAAAATGAATACGATTTTGAATAACTTTGTGTCTGTGTAGCTTCGAGTTGCCAGCGCTCCCTTGGCAAATGCCAGGAGATTTTGAAGGCAGTGCCTGGAGAAGGTAGAGTTTGGGGACAATGTGACGTCACTTCCAGGCGATGCTCTAGGAACTTCCCCATATCTCTATGGTGATTCTGTGATGCATGATTGGATCCCCAGATCTGTAATTTAGCTGGGAGTGGCTCCTCTGTACTTTGGTGGCCAAAAGTCTGGGAAAGGAAGAGGTCAGCTCCCAGCAATTCCCCCAAACATCATCTCTTCTCCAAAATTGCTTTAAGCCCTAATAGGGAAGAAAGCCACATGCCTGCACAGGGCCTGTCTTCTATTCATCCTAGGATTTCCAGGTCTTCCCTGGTCACCAGTGTGTGTGTGTGTGTGTGTGGGGGGGTTTAGAGTTGCCAGCTCCAGGTTGGGAAACTCCTGGAGATTGGGGAGTGGAGCCTGGGGGGGGGGCAGGGACCTCAGTGGGGTCCAATGCCATACAGTCCACCCTCCAAAGCAGCCATTTTCTCCAGGGGAACTGACCCCTGTAGTCTGGGGTAAAGGTTTCATTTGCTCGAAAGCCAGTCGAATTCAATTCTAGTCTAGAGGGTGGTGCTCATCTCCGTTTCCAACCTGAAGAGCCAGCGCTGTCCAAAGACTTCTCCATGGTCATGTGGTCGGCATGACTAAACACCGAGGCGCATGGAATGCTGTTACCTTCCCACCGAAGCATTACCTATTTATCTACTTGCAATTTCTTGCTTTCGAACTGCTCGGTTGGCAGGAGCTGGGGCCAGGGACGGGAGCTCACTCCGTCACACGGCATTCGGGTCTCGGACTGCCAAACTACAGTCCTTCTGGTCTGCAGCTCAGCATCTTCACCCCTGAGCCACTGCGGCCCCTCTGTAGTCTGCAGATATGCTGTAATTTCCGGGGATCCCCAGGTCCCACCTGGAAGCTAGTGTCCCTATACTCTCTCAATACATAAAGCGATGCAAGGCAGCCTCTTTTTTTAACCTGGGGAAATGGCAGAGAAGGCAACAAGCCCAGGTTCACTATTCTGTGACCCCAATCTATAGCCCCCCCTCCCTTGCAACTACTTTGGCAGCTAAATTGGGTGCCTTGTTGGGTGGTGGGAGGTCCAATCCCATCATATCCCTTTTGCCATGCAGTGCCGGCTTGTGATCATGTGCTTCACCAGGATGTGGCTGCCAGAGGATCTGCTGTTCTGGGCCACCCAAACTGGAAATCCCCAGGGCCTGCCTTTGTCTTCAGAGCTCTCTGAATCCACCACACTTATATGTCTCCTGGTTCTCTTTCTTCCTGGTGCTGTTTTTCGGCCAAAGAGTTGTTGCGGAAACCCCTTTTTCTATTTTGAATATCGGAATGAGGAAACAGGGCCCCAAAGGCAAACAAAAATAGTTCCTTAAAGCCTAGCATTGGGCAATGGTTCCGCACCATTTTGGCACATGCTGAAAAGGTCAGATCCAGGGAGATTTTCTTGCGGTCTGTCTGAGGCAGTGTCGTCTTTAGCTTCTCCAGACCAGAAGAAGTAGAAGAGATTGGATTTATACCCCGCCCTTTACTACCCAAAGGAGTCTCAGAGCGGCTTACAGTCTCCTTGCCCTGCCCCTTCCCACAGCAGACAACCTGTGAGCAATGTTCCCTCTAAGCTGTGGAGTCCTGTGAGCAAAAATTCTACTTTGTGAGGTACTGGCGTTAAAGTTGTGAGCGAGCGATTTGGCAGCTGCATGAATCAGTTTGCTCTGGAGCCGTCCACCCTGAGCTGAGACACAAATGTGTGAGCCGGAGGCTAAAAAACTGTGCGCTAGCTCACACTCACTCAGAGGGAACACTGCCTGCGAAGTAGGAGGGGCTGAGAGAGCTCTTTGGAGAACTGCTCGTGAGAGAACAGCTCTGAAAGAACTTGTGACTGACCCAAGGTCACACCAACAGCTGCATGTGTGGAGGCATGGGGAATCAAATCCGGTTCTCCAGATTGAGTGCGTGCTCCTAACTACCACACCAATCTGGCTCTTATGCCAAACTGACCCTTTCAGCATGCAAGCATGTGGCAAGAAGTCATGCCACAGGCAGAGAGGGAGCCAGAGTTATGACTCCATTTGTGTCAACCAGGGTGATTGCAGATGAAGAGAGCAGAGGACAAGAAGGAGGTGCCCCATAGTAAGGAGCAAGCTAGAAGTCAAACCCCTCGAGGAATCCTCTTCAGGCCTCTGAGTGAGTTCAGCTTACTGTTACTGTCCTCAGAATACTTTGTCCCAGCTGAGAATCGGCTTCGTTTTGGAACAAATTTGCCACCCAAAGGGGACTGGGGTGGATGAAAAGAAACACCATCCAGAATAATGTGTATTATTCTACAAAAACCCAGAGAAGGGCTATGTCACTAAAGCTCTGTACACACACCATATCCATGGGCAGGACAACATATGCAGAAGGGGAATGAGACCCAATGCACTGATCATTTGGTGTAGTGGTTAAGTGTGCGAACTCTAATCTGGGAGAACCGGGTTTGATTCCCACCTCCTCCACTTGCACCTGCTGATGTGACCTTGGGTCAGTCACAAGCTCTGGCACAGCTGTCCTTGAAAAAGAGCAGTTTGTATCAGAGTTCTCTCAGCCCCACCCACCTCACAGGGTGTCTGTTGTGGGGAGGGGAAGGGAAGGGAGTTTGTAAGCCGCTCAGAGACTCCTTCGGGTAGTGAAGGGCGGGGTATAAATCCAATCTCTTCTTCTTCTCTTCTTCATAGCACCTCCTGCATGTGCTTGCCCTAAAGTGAGCACATTCAAGCTCATAGGTTTCATCCCCGTGGTCCAGAAAGTTCATTCCTGGTTGCTCCTGATGGCCACGGAGTACTCTCTGTATGAAGGTGGGAAGAAAAATGGTAGGCAGGTAATTTATATCTACTCAGGAAGATGGGGTAGGGCTGAGTCATTATCTTGTAGGAGGTCCCCAGGCTGTGAAACATGCTAATGGAGGAGCTTTCCTGAGGAGGTTCTTTTGTATATGGATAGAATACGAATTGTTGCTGAAGATGGATTCCTTTCTGAGAAGGTCTTCCAGGTCAAGAGTGCACATGGACTGTGAGGAAGAGGCATACTGAGAGGCTTGGGAGACAAATGTGAGCTGCTCCGTCACTCCTAGTTGGAATGGCCTGCAGTTCCCCCTCTAACCAGCAAAACTGGTGGCACATCTGAGCCACTTCCAGATCCACAGAGCTCCCAGCTGTCTCCTGTGACTTCTGACAGGACTTCCTTCCACTCAGTCCTTCCCTTTCTCCACCTGCATCAGGGCTACAGTGATGCCCTTGATGGGACACACACACCCTTTTCCTTGCAAGGACACAATTGGAGATTAATGAATCAGAGCACGGTATGCAAAACAGACTGTGACACCTGCCCCAGGTGGACCAATGGGAGGCAGGATGAAGCTCAGGTTGGGGAGGAGGGCACGGGCCAACTTATTCTGTTGAGGCAAGAGGAGCCTGTTGCACCACCGCTCTGGACCCAGGTGGGGATTGAGGGATGGGAATGACCTTGAGTGGGACGGAAAAAGAACCTTGAGGATGATTTGTGTCATGCTTCCAACGTACAGCAGGATTCTTTCCAGGGATGGGGTTTTTGGTGGGCGTGAGGTTACCATAGACCTGTCTTGGTCCTAGTTGGTTTCTAAGTTTGCAAATAGACTGGGTCAATCTAAGCAGAGTTATACTCTTTGAAGCCCATTGAATCTGATGGACTTAGTAAAAGGTAAAGGTTTAGGTTTCCCTTGCTCGAAATCCCGTCAAATCCGACTCTAGGGATGTGGTGCGCATGTCTGTTTCCAAGCCGAAGAGCCAGCGCTGTCCGAAGATGTTTCCATGGTCATGTGGCCGGCATGACTAGACGCTGAGGCGCACGGAACGCCGTTACCTTCCCACTGAAGTGGTACCTATTTATCTACTTGCAATTTCTTGCTTTCGAACTGCTAGGTTGGCAGGAGTGGGGACCAGAGACGGGAGCTCACTCCATCACACGGCACACTCGGGTCTCGAACTGCTGAACTACCGACTTTTCGGTCTGCAGCTCAGCGTCTTAACCACTTGAGCCACCGCAGCCCCTTGATGGACTTAGGAGGGTAGAACTGATCCATAAAGCCCTCCCTGCTATGAATAGACCAGGGATCCCCAACGTGGTGTCGCCAGCACTTTACCTGGTACCTGCCAAGTGTTTTTTAGAAAGTGGGTATCCTCAGGAAGGGCTTTTGCCTAGCAAGCCTTCTGATTGGCCCCTGGAGATTTGATTGGCTGTGCAGCTCCTTAAAAGAAATCTTGCTTGGGTGGAAGCTGCCACCGCACCACGAGGATCGTCACAGTGTGACTGAAAGTACGCTGCAACAGCTCCGCCTCCTGCAGCAGCCGTTTGTGGCCAGCATTTTGGGGCTGTGGCCACCACAAAATCCCAAAGAATGTGTCAGAAATCCCAAAGGGGCCTGCGGGCTCAAAAATGTTGGGGACCCCTGGAATGGGCCGATCTTCAAGGTAGGAGTGATGCTGGCAGGGAAAGGCTTGCAAAACAAATCATAGAAGGGCAATAAAGGGGAGGAAGAAAGGGAAGGGGGACAAAAAGAAACAAACGAATGCCCAAGGTGGGGAAGGAAGGGAGAAACAGGAGGAGACACAAAAAGGAAAAGAAAAGCGGAAAGGGGGATGGAACCACCCTCTGCCTAAGGAAAGCCCAGATGCTATTTGGGGGCTTGAAAAACGAAGGCTTTTCAGTCTGTTGTAGAAGGATTTCACGGCAGGAGTTCATTAGTTGTTGTAGATTTTCCGGGATGTGTGGTCGTGGTCTTGGCATTGTAGGACCTGACGTTTCGCCAGTAACTCTGACTGGCATCCTCAGGTATAAACACAGAAAGATGGAGTACTCTCTGTGTCAAGGTGAGAAGGAAATGGTAGGCAGTAAACTTATATCTATGGAGCTGCGGTGGCTCAAGTGGTTAAGACGCTGAACTGCAGGCTGTGGAAGGTTGGTAGTTCAGCAGTTCGAGACCCGGGTGCCGCAAGACAGGGTGAGCTCCTGTCTCTAGTTCCAGCTCCTGCCAACCTAGCAGTTCGAAAGCAAGAAATTGCAAGTAGATAAATAGGGACCACTTCGGTGGGAAGGTAACAGTGTTTAGTCATGCCGGCCACATGACCACGGAAACGTCTTCGGACAGCGCTGGCTCTTCGGTTTTGAAACGGAGATGAGCACCGCAACCCTAGAGTCGGATTCGACTGGCTTTCGAGCAAGGGAACCTTTACCTTTACCTAAACTTATATCTACTCCAGAAGGTGGGTAGGGCTGAGTCATTGTCTTCTAGGAGTTCCCCAGGCTATGGATATGCAGGAAAGCTCCTCCATTAGCATGTCCATAGCCTGGGGAACTCCTACAAGACAATGACTCAGCCCTACCCACCTTCTGGAGTAAATATAAATTTACTGCCTACCAGTTTCTTCTCACCCTGACACAGAGACATCTTTCTGTGTTTATACCTCTGAGGATGCCAGTCACAGTTACTGGCGAAACGTCAGGTCCTACAATGCCAAGACCACGACCACACATCCCGGAAAATCCACAGCAACTAACTTTTCAGTCTGCTTTCCCACTTCATACCTCTATCAAGACGCCTTGAAGAGAAAACATTTGCATCAAGATTTTGTCTCGTACTCACATCATTATCTACTGGCTTTGCCTACGTTTATGGCATGTACTTTGCATAAGGATGATTGTTGTGTAACATCAGAAACTTGCATTATAAATATTATAAAAAGTACAACCAAGTGTGCTAAAGTCATAGAACAGTGGTTTTCTTCGGCGAGCTTATTTTATTCTTCCAGTGTTTGTGGTTGCATGGAAAAACCCTTCCATTCAAATGAGCACAGCCACTAAAAAGTCCTGCTTTGAAATGGCCCTACCCACTTTCTGAAAAGCTTGCTGGGTGCCAGGGAAAGTACTGGCAGGCACTGTAGCCAGGCCCATAGCGACAGCGGGGCATTTTGGGGCCTGGCCCCCTGACTTCCTGCCAAGGCCCCCGACTTTCATCCAACCCCCAGCCCCCCGGCTCTCTGGGCCACCCAGAGGATGCCCAACTCTCTGGGCCACCTGGAGGACTCCCCACCACCGCCCCTTCCCCAAGGGTGCCTTGCTTCCCCATGTAGGCAAGCAAAGTGAGTTTTTAAAAAGTATATATTTTTTTACTTTGTGGCGTCATTGCCCCTCAACTTACTTAAAGGCCGCCTGAATTACAAAATCCTGTCTACGGGCCTGACTGTAGTACCCCCAGGGACCACGTTGGGGAATCCTGCTTTAAAAGATCAGGCACGTGCATGGCAGAGGAGAGATGGACCAAAGGCTTATTGTTACCCATAATGGAACCTCCATGTTCAGAGGCAGTCTTTCTCCAAAGTAGGGTTACCAAGTACCTACCTTCGAATCGGCGGGGGACACCTGGTTCCCGGGCGGAAAATCCCTCAGTGGAACACATCCCCACCGCACCATGCCATCGCCCAGACGTGACGCCAGCACTCTGGGCACGTAGCTGGGCGATGCTCTGGCAATGGAGCTGGAATCTCAATGGTATCGTGCGGGAATATTCCTGACAAGATGTATGTGTCCCCCGCCGAATCAAGGTAAGTACTTGGTAAGCCTGCTCCAAAGGCAAGTTACTGGGAAACGACCACAGTGTGGGAGGCTGTTGCCTTTCTCTCTGGTTTCGGGGCTTCCCAGAAGCATTTTGCTCATCCCTGCAGGTAGGTGCAGGATGCTGGATGAGGCGGTCCTTTGGTCTGATACAGGGCTCTGTTTATGTAAAGGCTGCATGTGTCCCATTTCAAATTAGCAGCCTAGGGAAGGGCAAGACAGACCCGGCCCATCATCCCCCTTACATTCTTTATTCTGCGCTTCCAGGAGAAATGACTTATTACGCACCTCCGCTTTCTGGACCTAGTACAGAGTGCAGTGATGAATCTGGAATGGAAATGGGTGAGGACGGCTTGGAAGAGGAACCGAGGCCCCTGCACCACTACATACGGGAGGGTATGTGACCCAATGCGCAATCCGGCCTTGGCGGAGAAAGGTCACTTGTCTGCTTTTTCATCCCACCCCTGGAGCGCAGGGCAGTACAAACCGTCCCCTTCTCTTCCATTGCTTTTTTTTTTTTTACATTCCACTTTATATCCCGCTCGAACCCCCTATCCAGGGGTCTCTGAGCGGCTTACAAGTCGGTGCTAGTCACCATTTCAATTTTTCCTAGCTAGGGCCACAGGTTCTATGCGGGGTGGGGCAACCTACCAGGCACCCCTGTGGTGGTGGTTGGTGTTGTTTTTCCTTCAGGTTCTTTTTTGTCGGCGGTCTTCTGGCGGCGGTCTCTGGCGGGGTGCTCTTCCTGGCGCTCGGTGGAACTGCCTCTCTTGCAGCGCGCGGCTCCGCCTTCTTCCGGCCTCAGCAACGTCCCTTCCGGCTCCGCTGGGCCAGCGCTTGGCATTCTCGCGTGCCCCTTCTCGGCGGCAGCCACTCCGATGTCCTCGCCTCTTCGGCCGCCAGGGACCGCTCCTCCGGATGTTTCGCCAGCAGGTGGTTGCAAAGGGTTCCACAAACGGAGACCGCTAAGAGAATGCCAAGCATCTTGCACTTGAGTCTGTAGTTGATCTGATAACCTTGGTGCGGGAGCATGATGCCCTCCGCAGAGCATGATGGATTCTCCAGTGAACGTAGCAAGGAAGTGGCGCACATGAAACCCTTAGGCTAACTAGTGTGTGTGTCTGAATGCAGACGAGCCAGTTTGGTGGAGTGGTTAGGAACGTGGACTCTAATCTGGGAGAACTGGGTTTGATTAGCTTTTCCTCCACATGCAGCTGCCAGGTGACCTTGGGCAAGCCACAGTTCTCTCAGAGCTGTTCTCTCAAGAGCAGTTCTCTCAGAACTCTCCCAGCCCCACCTACCTCACAGGGTGTCTGTTGTGGGGAGAGGAAGGGAAGGAGATTGTAAGTGGCTCTGAGACTCCGAGGGAAGGGCAGGGTATAAATCCAACCTCTTCTTCTTTCTTCACTAACTATGCTTAGTTGGGGTGTGTCAGACTAGTTTTAAGTTGCCTTATTAACAGATGAATGGAGACATCTTGACTTCACCTTGGCTTGCTCCCTGGTGCCACCCGTGGACACACCTTTGCGTCAGTCTTCCATTTCCTAGTGGGAGCAGTTCGGTGGCCATTTCTGGGCTACAGAAATGCACAGCTGGAGTGAACACATTTGTCAAGCCAAACCAGGATTTGAGGGATCACCCCTGAGCTGAATCCTGGTCTCACAAGCTCATCGGGGTTCAAGAAAAGCACGATTTCATGGCACATCTTAACCAAGACACTGTGCAAGCAAATCCTGACTGACCTCAATGACTGCGCATTCTGTCCTGCCATATGACTCACAAAGCCCTGGTTCTCCCCTGTCAAATTAGTCTAATAACCCTAGGCCCCTGCCACACGGGGGGGGGGGGGATGCATGGCTAAAGTGCGGCTTTTGGAAGCCGCACCAAAATAGACACGCCGTGGCAGGATCACACGGATCCCCTGAGCCGCGCCGCCGTTGCTCCCCAGCACGATCAGATGCCGGGGAGGAAGCCACGGTCGGGAGATCGAGGCAGCCGGCTGCGTATGCGTCTGCATGCGCAGTTCGGCCAGGAGCCAGGGATGCGCTGGCAGAAGGACGCGCCGGTGATCCCACGACCGCGCTTGCCGCGGCTGTTCAGGTAAGACCACCCCTGTTGGTTCCCAGATGTTGCTGTGAGATTGTGCCCATTTGCTGCGGCCCCGATCCGTCCCTCTCCCGGGCCAAAACCCTCTGTGTGACCGGGACCCTAGTTTTGACTTATTTCCTGCTTCTTACAGGGCTGAAGCAACTGCATCAGAAGCAGCTGCTGTGTGATACAACCATTGTGGTCGGGCGTGAGCGGTTTCCATGCCACAGGTATTGTACACTGTGTTTTGTGACAAGTTGCTTCCACAATCTGCAGTTCTCCCAGTCTGATTTATATAGGCATTCCTCAACGAGCCTGATTTACAGCCATCTGCTAGGAGGTGCAGAACTTACTCAGAACTGCTATCGTTAGGCAGCTGGCACCGGGCCATGAGGCAAGCACTCTGCATGTCCTTAAGTCTTGCTGGAGCTTTTCCCTTCACCACTCCATTAATGTGGGGCGGTGGGGGGGGGGAGCCTGGTGGGCTACTTTCCTGCAGCTGTGCTTCGTCGACTACTTCAGAGCTATGGGTGGGGGGGTCAAGGTCAGCTGCCGCCAATGAATCTTGAGGCTCCCGTATCTCTAATTCACTGACTTTAGCTGGTTCAGAGCTGGCTGCATGTGGCTCCTCGACTCCTGAGGGATCTTCAGCCACGCTGGACTCAGGCTGGTCAGGCTGGCCCACGACAGGATCCTTTTAGCTCCCTCTTCTTTTTATAGCTGTCACTGGAAGTGGCAGAGCACATGTTCTTGCATGCAGAAGGCCTCAGGTCCAGTCCCCAGCATCTTGCATTAAAAGGACTGGGGTGCTGTCAGAAAAGACCATCACTGCCTGGCATAGCTTCTGTGAGTCATGGTACACGATATGGACCAATGGTCTGGCTCAGCAGCAATGTTCCCTCTAAGCTGAGTTACTGTGAGCTAGCTCATGGTTTTTGAGCCTCTGGCTCACACATTTTTGTCTCAGCTCAGGAATGATGGCTCCAGAGCAAACCAATTTATGCAGTAGCCAAATCACCTGCTCACAACTTTCATGCCAGTAGCTCACAAAGTAGAATTTTTGCTCACAAGACTCCATAGCTTAGAGGGAACATTGCTCAGCAGACCTTTCTGGAATTATAACTCTCTAAGCAGGTGCGGACTAGCTAGGCCCTGACCTGGAAGGCTGAGGCTAGCTCAGTCGCACCAGAAGCTAAGCAGGGTCGGATGGGAGACCACCGAGGAAGCTTGCTACGCAGAGGTAGGCAAATGGCAACACACCTCTCATAATCTTCCACCTTGACAACCGTACCGTGATGCCATATAGTCAGCTGCACCTTCCGCCACCACAGACCATCTCGTTCAGATTGCGGTTATCCGGCGTGGTGAGTCCAGTCCCCATTAGTTAGCAGAGTGCTTAAATAAAGCTACAAATGCAGGAGCATCGCTTTGCCAGGTTACTCAACTTACAAAGCTGCACAGAGCCACATCGCAGGGCCAGAAGAGAAATACTTCTCTCTTTATTTGAGACGTACACTTTGGATTGGAAAGAGGAGAGATCAGAGCTTTTTTTTGTAGAAAAAGCCCAGCAGGAACTCATTAGCATAATAGGCCACACCCAACAGCAGGAACTCAGTAGCATATTAGGCCACACCCCCATGCCTTCCCTTGGCTTGTCCGGGCGCTCTGTGGCTGCAGGAATCCCGGGCAAGCCCCCCCCCCAAGGGAAGGGAAGGCAGTGGTTTGCCTTCCAGGGGCCCCCCTGGCCTGCCCGCCTCAAAATCATCAGGGGGTGTCGCTCTCCAGTCCTTCCCTCTGTAGCCAGGCACGCAGAGGTTTTGGCTGTAGTGGGCGTGGCCAACTCTGAAGCCAGCCGGAAACTCCGTTCCTGTGCGTTCCTGCCCAAAAATAGCCCTGGGAGAGATCAATAAATTACTAACTTGCTAGCTAAGGGATACAGGTGGATGGCGAGAGGCCCATCTGCCTCATGGTGCTGAGAGAGGACCGCATGTCCTGCTCTTGGTGCGTGCAGGCAGAGAACAAGTCTTCATTCAGAGTGAGAGAGAAGCAGGACGGGGAAATTGGTCCTTGAGATCAGAATCTACACAAGACGGGGACCCGCGATACTTGCGGGGGGGAGAAGAGCTCCATCTCCTCCATCCCCCCCCGCTCGATCTCCCCGAGGCAGCGGCGGCAAGGCCGGTCCTCCCCCCCCGCCCGGCTCTGAGGCGGAGGCAGCGGCGGAGAGCCCGGTCCTCCCCCCCCCTTGCCGGGCTCGGCCTACTTTTAGCATTTCTGTACACATGTGGGGACTGGCCCACGTGTGCACAAACCTCCCCCTCCCCCCCAAGTGCCCCCAGAGCGCTGATTTAGTGATCCGCACTCCGGGGGCAACTTGGCTATTAGATATATAGATATCAAAGAGGACAGTGGCAGAACTTAGGGTAGCTGCAGGAAGAAACGTCAGTGTGCCTGTCTAGCCACCCAGCCTCTCTTGCCAGTCAGTCTGGAGGTCTGAAGCAGGGGGCATCGCATCTGGAACTTCCAACAGTTCGCATCTGTTTGGGGTGATCAGGGCTATTTTGGGGCAGGAACGCACAGGAAAGGAGTTCCGGCTGGCTCCCAAGTTGGCCACGGCCAGCAGGAACTCATTAGCATAATAGGCCACACCCAACAGCAGACACTCATTAGGATTGGCTACATTAGGGGTGTGTGGCCTAACATGCAAAGGAGTTCCTGCAACAAAAAAAGGCCCTGGGTTTTGACAACAAACAAGGTAAACAGAATAAGAA